GGGGCTTCACGGTACTCCGTCTCCCATATGTTAGTTTTTGCTTTCTTTTGTTTTTGTTTTTTCAGGGGGCAGAAATGATCTTATTTTCCACTCCTAGGGCTACTCTTGAATTAGGTATTCGAGTTTGCTCGGCTCCGGTTAGCTGTGTCCTATGCCATTTGGGTGTTCTGTAGTTTGACCAAAACGTATGTACGTGGCTCTCGTTCAGTTTCTGGTTTCCAGTTGTTTTAGCAAAACTGGCGTTTGTAGATTATGATTATGGAGAGTGATTTAATACAGCCCCTTCTGACCCCAGACTGCATTAGGTTTTCTCTGTGCATTGGGTTTTAATAAGATTCACTTATTATATAGGCTGATGTATTTATGGTTGCTTTCATTTGATATTAGGCTTTTGAAATTAGGAGGCAGGGAAGAGTTTTAAGGGTCTAAACTTGCAGAAATTGCATTCCAAATGTTCTGTGTTCTATGTTAAATGCCTGTGTGTGTGTGTGTGTATGTGTGTGTGTTTCTTCTGGAAAGAACTGTAAGAACTGGCACTTAGAGGATTTTGTCTTTCTGTGATGCTTACGTGAGCTCAGAAGCAAGAGCCCTATGTTGCCGGTCGAGGTTTTCCTGCCAGTCTGGGATGGCTCTATAACATACTTTACAACAAAAATGGAAATAATTGAGAATCTGGTTATGAGCCACTCTTTGATTCCTTAGCCCTGATGCCCTTGATCAGCTGCTTGTATTAATATGTCTGTGTCATGATCTGATGAGAAGTTTTTCTTCCTGTTGTTTAACTCTCATGTCTTCTACTCCCCTTCCCCTAATCAGCCTCCGAGACCTGGTTAGGGACTGATTCTGTCTAGCTTCTTTTCATCCAAGCTTGGTATTTACTCATTCTGGTTTTTTTCTTTAGGATTTAAATCGGCATAAAAGCAGTCAGAAATTAAATTATACGCATTGTCATTTTCACCAGAAGGGCTAGCTTAAGATTTGGATGTGGTATCTTTTCTCTGCTGGGATTTTGAAGAATAGAGGCAGTTTCAGAAATCATCCTCTGCTTTTCTTTAGAGTTTGGGTGGCAGTTGGTGCCTTCTTTCCTTACCCCTTAGCTGTAAGATGGTTCCTGATTGTTATTACTTGGAAAGGCTGAAGGATATTAGACAATATCAACAGTGCGTTGTGTCTCTGGCATGAATTAAATGGACCAACCAGTATCCAAGAATATTTTTAACTTGGCTAACTGACTGTATTTTTTCCCCCCACTATATGGAAGTTGGACTTCACCCTTCTGATGTTAAAGATCGTTCAGAGACCAGATGTCCATGGCTATTTCCTTTGGGATGTCCCACTGTAAAATGGGGAGTCATACCGACCTCATAGGGTAGTGGTGGATTTTAAAGAAGTTAACTTTGGTAAAGTCTCTAGCACAGTGCTTGGCACATAGTAGGTGTGTTAATTTCTTTCCCTTCCCTGCAGGCCATTCACCTGCTCTTCCCTCTACGATTTTCCATAACACAGTTTTTACTTGGAACCAGCCTTCTGCCAAGAGTCTCACTTTGGTTGTGTCCTCCTACAACTTCTATTTTTGGCTTGACTTCCCTCTCCAGCTCCCAGTGGTCCAGCCACACAGTCGCCTATTGTACCAGCTGGTTGATGTAAGTCTATCCATCCTCAGAGGAACCCGGTCACTTACCAGTAAGCTGTGTTTCTCTGAAAATGTAGCATCCTTGATAACTAATAGGCTTTTTTCTCTTCTTTACCACTGATGATGAATCACCTGTAATGACTTCCTTGTGTGATCCTCAAGTAGGAATGAGAATTGGAGAATTTTATCCGTTGATGTAGGTCTCCTAGTGAGTTCCTGAGCCCAGGACACTTGCCCGATCAGGTAAAATGCTTTGGAGACCCATGAGGTCAAAATCCTTTTCAGTATTGTGATATGAGACTTAATTACATAAACTGTCAAGGATGATACATTTTCAAAGAAAAAAAGTTACTGGTAAGTAACTGGAATTTTTTGAGTAATTTTCCTGTTAAGTCAATAAATAAGAATTCCCAAACTTGTTTTACCAACAAATGCTTTTGCATTTGAATATTATTTCATAAATGAAAGGAATATGGTTATTAGTTAAGGTTAATAGTTCAGGAATGGCTTAGGTTTCTAGAGTTACTATGTAGATAATGAGGTGGGTATAGGCCTTCCGTTTTCTAAGTAGATGCTCTCTTAGCGTTACAGAGAAATTGGAGTGAAACCTCCCATTAGGCAAAATCAGCAAGTGCAGTCTGTTCATTCCAGAAACATTTTTTGAGTGCCTACTCTTTTTTGAGACACTGTGCTGAGTATCGTTGCGAGACAGAGAAAACCACACTGTCTCAGCTGCTTTTGCCCTCAGAGAGCTGATTTCTGGCCCCTTGGTGACGCTGGTGGGTCTCAGGGTTGAGAGGCTGGGGTCTGACAGGTGCGGGGTTGGAGGCAGTACTGAGCGCTGCAGCCTTTGCCGTCTCATTTTTGTGCTTCTCTAAGTTCTTTCTCTTCAGGGGCAAAAATCACTGGACCTCATTCAGTAGCTCCAGAGCATTTTCTACATCCTTAGAGCAAACAGATGAAGTAGAGTCCCTCCTGTCTCGTAGTTGAAAGGAATAGTAAGCTGTCTAGCCTTAAGTCTGACCTTGGGTTCAGATGTTAAGTTCACAGGTGGGTAAGTCAGAGTTGGAGAGGCAACACGCTCTCCTTCCCGCCCCAACCTCTAAAGGAGGCTAATCTTCAGAATTAAAGCCACAATATTAATTTACTCCCCTCCAAGTGTAAAAGAAAACCCCCAAACTCTAATTTTTTTGGTGAGAAATTACAGTTACTTTGTACTTAAAATCCCTGGACAGTGTATACTACTTGGTTCCGTAATTATGAGGAGCCCTGGCCCCACAGTTAGGCAGTTAGGTGGGGAGGAGCGGGGGTGACATGGTAGTAAGAGACTTGGTAGTAAGAGGACTAAGAGGAGGGCCTGGGAGAGAGGGCGTGTGGCCGGCAGCAGCCCGGGCGCAGCTGTGTGTGGTCTCTGACCCTCCGAGCATCTCAAGGGCAGGGGCACAGCACAGAGATGAGGCGCGTGGGTGTTGAAATCAGACTTAGGCTTCCATCCTGGCTTGGTAACTTCCTACCTTTCTGACTAGGCAAGTTATTTAACTTCTGTGAACCTCAGTCTCCTCCTCATTTGTGAGGTTGTGATGCTGGAGGCTGAGAGGAGCAGTGGTTAAGATGATGTCTACAAAGCACTTAGCACAGTGCCTGCAACATAGTACGTGCTCAATAAATGTTCACTGCTATTACTGGGTTATTGGACGGATGGATGAAGAACCGAATCAGAGACGAGAGCGCGGAACAGGGAGGGATGCTGGCGCTGGAGTTTTAGTGGACCGTACACACCTTCTCATTTACTTGAGCTGTGAGCTTTCTAGTATTATATCTTTATCTTGGCCCTTTTGGAAAGCAAATTAATGGATTAATCACTGTCACAGTTCTTTCTACTCTTATCTTTAAACCTTCACTTCCACCAGGAAGGAACTGTTTTGTGCCGCAGTGACTGTGACCATGGCAAGATTGTCCCGCTGGCCTGATGAGATGCTGAGGGCCAGGTGTGGCCTGTAAGCCAAAGATTTTCACTGTAATTTCACCAAATCTAGTCCTGCTATTTTTAAGACCTTTCCAATAAAAATCAAACATTTAATAATTACGCGTGTGCATATATATGATTTTTGTTTCGTTTTACTCCTTCAATTCTTCTTTTTACTCTATTTTCACTCATTGTAGCTTATCAATATATGTCCGAGGGTATTTTTGAGCAGGTTCTTGGAAGCCTTACGATTGGGTAATGGTCCTCTTTAAGAAAAGCTGGATTCCTAGACAGTATAGAAAGTGCTGTGGTCCTTCGGGCACAGATTTTTACCGTATTTCATAGAATCAAAGATGCAAAATTTTGAACATTTTAACATCTGAAGCTGAAATGCATCTTAGAATTGCTGTGATAAGAAAGCATTATGTTACAGTTTGACTGGCAACATTATTTTCTCACTGATACAGAAAGTAATGGAATGCCTTGAAATTGAGGTCATCACAGGTTGGATGAAATACGGTATTTCAAGAGAGTAGATGCACTTAAACATTCTAGAATACGGTATTGGTGGCAGTATGTGTAGTGGGTAAGAGCGGAGGCTCCAGAGTCAGGCTTTCTTTCTGGGATGAAATTTTAGCCCTATCTACTGCACGACTTTGGGCCAGTTACTTACCTTTTTTTCACCTGAGTTTTCTCATCTGTAAAATGGGGGTTAAGAATTAGTCCTCATCTTACAGTGTTGTCAAGAGGACAGAATATGATAAGACATGTAATGTGTTTAAGATAGTGCCTCGCACATAGAAAGTGCTCACTAATGCTAGCTATTACTATTAATTTAGAGATTATACTTTTGCAGAACGGATATGAACTTCTTTTGTTGTGATTGAAATTCAGATCTGTTACTACCCTTCATTTTTGTTTATCATCTGGTAATATCAGTAAATGATGCTTGGGCTTTTTAAAAGGGAGGATAAAGATAAGAAAGATGAACCTAACAGTTTTCATATTCTTATTAAGTGAGATTTAAGAGGCATATTTGGTATATATAATATTATTCCACGTGGTTGAGATCTAAAAGAAATTAAGCATCGAGCTAGGAAATTTATAGTGAGTTAACCTGAGGCTAGCACATACTGTTTTTGATTCTGGTTGATATTGGTAAGTATGGGAAGGGTTCTTGGAAGCTTTTGAAAATTTGCGAAATCTGAAGCATTTTTTTCACTTTAAGTAAAAGAAAGTAAGAAGGAGAGAATCCCTCATGGTTGTTAGGAACCTTGATGTCTTAGCTAAAGGAATATCCTTTTCAAAATTACCTAAGTACGCAGCATCCCTTTATAATATGTTGACAGCTTAAGGTTGTCTTTTAATTCTTATGAGTCAATTTTATTTTTTCTGTTCTAGTGTTCAGTGACCAGTGACTTGGATTTTCCAACACAAGTCATCCCATTAAAGACTCTGAATGCAGTTGCTTCAGTACCCATAATGTATTCTTGGTCTCCCCTACAGCAGAATTTTATGGTATGTAGATCATGCGTCATCTGCTTACTTGATAATAACTTATTTTAAATAAAATACAATTTTCTTGTCAAGGTGAATAAAAAATAATATAAGTAAAAAAAAAGTTATCGAAATGATAACACTCAGGGATTTTTTTAAACCGATATATATTTTTTAATAAACCTTTATGGTATTGCTCTTTTTCTAGTCTTTCCTAGTTAAAATATTCTCTAAAGAAAGAGTGTTAAGCAGAAATCCTACCTGGGATTAAAAATATGTTTAAAAGATGAAGCTTATAGTTCTTATGCTTGAAAAGGTCAGTCAGTATTCTGTAATTTCAGTCTGATATATAGGTTTTATAAATTGAGAACTTTTGTTGAAGTGGTTTTAGGCAGCATGTTATTAAATGATAATGTACATTATGAAATATTCTCAGGACTTATAAAACACAAAGTTTAGCATATTTCCACAGATAAAACTGGCCCAATAGCTTTTGTGACAAAATGCTGGTATTTAATTCTTTATAGAAGTAGGATGAAGGAAGGTGAAACGAGAAATTTGAGTGCGCATTCTTGACTTGTGTTGTTAAGTAAAAAATGTGTAGTTTTATTACTTACTTGATATGTAAAATAAGCTAGAAGTGTTGGTAGATGTCCTTGGTGAGCCTACTTTAGGGAATTGCTTACCTTTTTTTTTTTAAAGCATCTTCCATGAACTCATAACCCTGAGATCAAGAGACATGTGCTTTACCAACTGAGCCAGGCACACATCGAGACTTTTTTTTTTTAAAGTTGTTTATTATTATTTTTTAAAGATTTTATTTATTTATTTGACAGACAGAGATCACAGGTAGGCAGAGAGGCAGGCAGAGAGAGAGGAAGGGAAGCAGGCTCCTTGCTGAGCAGAGAGCCTGATGCGGGGCTCGATCCCAGGACCCTGGGATCATGACCTGAGCCGAAGACGGAGCCTTTAACCCCCTGAGCCACCCAGGCACCCTAAAAGATGTTTCTAATGTCTTTAGTAACTAAAAGATTTTATAGCGAGGGATTAAAGACACACTTCAGATGTTCTTCTATAATTGCCTCGTGTGTTTAAGGCTTCTTGCAAAAACATTTAAGAATTATATTGCAAGAGCTTATGGGAGAGTTCACATTTTCTTAGACTAAAATTCTGAAAGGTTATAGTGTTTAATACTGTTTAGAATTATCTGTGAGTTTTGCTGGTCACTGACCGAGGCAAATAAGGCAGACTGTCTTTATTATGATTAGGATATGTCTTGAGGGGTAAAGTTTACACCATACAGTTAGGAAGACAAAATAGCCAGTTGTGACTTAATTTTGGCTTTTATCCAAAAAAATTAACATTCCTGGTTTAAGTGGGATTAGTGAAAGTGAGATGTGCAGACTGGACTCTTTAGTTGTAAGTTTGGTTCTTTCGGATAGATCAGGGCATTAAAATCTCAATTTTAATTTTATATCCCTTATGCACTTTCCCTCCCAATTGTCCTTTTCCCTATTCATTTAAGATTCTGTTGTCTTTCTGAACTTTGCAGTTGTCCTAAATTTGTTACCTGGGGATTAGTTGAGATTTTTCCCTTCTCTCCGTTTTTCCCGCCTGCTGCTATGTGACGGTCCCCTGTGTGTCTTGTGGCCTTTTCCTCGTGTATTCTTTGCTGTTGATCGTGCGCCCTGCCTGAGGCTCCTACGCTGGCCGCAGCTGCCACGTCCTCCTCTCCTCTTAGCCAGTCCACTCTGTTTATCAGAATTTTCCTTCTAAAATTCTCCTTTTAACTAAGACTTCTTAAGACAGATCTGTCCTTGCTTAAGTCTCTTCAAATATGGACTTCAGAACCCTCCAGTCTTGATCTATCATTACTCTCTTTTTTATCCTTCATTGAAGATTCTCTCCCTCCCGTGCACATCTGCGGACGGCCCCGTGTGTGCTTCAGTTCTCTTCTCCCGAACTTTTCCTTAGGTCGGCTCTCTCGGCTAAGGTAGTGCCTTCTTTTTCTCCTGTTGTCTTCAGAACCTTCATAAGCTCATCTCTCATCTTGCTTAGCATGATCAGTTTTTTAAAAAAATATTTTATTTATTTATTTGACAGAGAGAGACATAGCGAGAGAGGGAACACAAGCAGGGGGAGTGGGAGAGGGAGAAGCAGGCTCCCAGCTGAGTAAGGAGCCTCTTGCGGGGCTTGATCCCAGGACCCTGAGATCATGACCTGAGCTGAAGGCAGATGCTTAACCATCTGAGCCACCCAGGTGCCCCCAAATGATCAATTTTGATAGGCATCTTTTTCCTGTAAGCATTGAAATATTGTATGTAATTGTAGAATGTTCTTATTTTATGTATAAGAGCAAATCCTTTTGGCATAAACTTTATGAAACTCTATTTTACATCCCCTAGATTTTTATTATATTGAAGGTCTGAATAACTAGATCATCGAGTGAAGTTTAGAAATCCTTATGTTATTATCCTGTTATATGGCTATATTAAGTGGTTTTGATAAACTATTCTAAGACACTGGGTGTATCTTCAAATTGATTGGTCATGTGGTAATATGCAATACTTTTTCCTTTCTTGAGGTACATAAAATAATGGTAAGTTTTAATGATTGATGACATGTCAGATTAGGTGAATAGCGTATTTTTCTTAATTTTTTTTCCTATAAACTGTTTGATTTCTGAGATAATCCTTATTGATGGGAGGGCTCTTTATTTTATATTTTAGAATTTGCTGTCTATTAGTTTAGATCTGGAGAACTGAGTAGAGACATCTACTTGGGAAAAAAATCGTATTTTACATTACATTGATTTAAAAAATACTTTGATATTTAGGATAAGCCTGCTTTTAAAATATATTTTTTATTTTTAGGTGGAAGATGAAACTGTTTTACATAACATTCCTTACATGGGGGATGAAGTTTTAGACCAGGATGGGACTTTCATTGAAGAACTAATAAAAAATTATGATGGCAAAGTACATGGGGATAGAGGTGAGCCCTGTGTTTATTCTCTTGGAAAACGGGGCCAAAGAATTGAGAGATATTTTGAATTTTTTAAGTATAGGTATGGAAAAGATTTTTAATATCGAAAGCAAGTTTTTTGACTGGCCTGGGCCTATTTTCAAGCCTAAACATTTTAATGTTATCCCTAACTATTTTTAAATTGAAAAATCATTTTTACTATTTGAAAATGATGCATAGCTGGTTATAACATTATGAGGCCAGTAACATGTAAATTAAATAGACTTGTTTGGATGTTTGTAGGTTTTAAGATTCCTTCATGGTAAATTAGGGTCAGGGCCCTGCTTGCATGACGCGTGGGCTCCAGAAGGCCCTATGCTCAGAAGGACGCCCCCTTAGCTGCCACAGGACCTACACTTCTGCCACTGCGACCACGGTTTCTGTCCCATCCCGGAGACCCCAACGAAGCATCCAGTGGGAGGGCGGCGTGTGTAGCATCATCACCATCCCTTCTCTCCGGAAGAGTTGTTAGGAGGGGGCTGAGGCCACAGTTAGTTTCTAGAGAATTAGGTTCGAGTAGCGGGCGCTGGAAACTTGGGGAGGGTGTGATGAAAGAGAAGGTACCAGGTGTTGAAGTTAAATTCCTCCTAACTTTGCCTCAGGCCAGTCTTAAAAATGATCTCTTGCCTCCTTTTAATGATGTTCTAGTGGTAATTAATAGGCCTGGCTGTTTCTTCCAGGTTAGAAAAGGCATATGTAAAATGTTGTCATCACCACTTTCCTCTGTATTTCTGATATTTGACTTGATGAATTTCAGAATGTGGGTTTATAAATGATGAAATTTTTGTGGAGTTGGTGAATGCTCTTGGTCAGTACAATGATGATGATGATGATGATGATGGAGATGATCCCGATGAAAGAGAAGAAAAACAGAAAGATCTAGAGGAGAACAGAGATGGTATGTCTGTGTATTAGGCTTGTGTGTAACCCTGACAGCATTTTTCAAAAACAATAAAGTACAAACAGATGTTAATTCCTTCTTTCTCTTTTTCCTTTTCTGAACTAGCATATCAATAGTAATAGAATCAGAATGAGAATATCATTTGTAACATTTCATCCTGTAGTTAGGCATCTTTATTTCCTTTGGCTGACGAAAGAACTTACTCTGTTTTTGGGATTTTGCTGGGTGATCACCGTAATCATCATTATGATATAACCTGTTGATCACTGACTATGCAAGTAGTGAGTGTGCCGGTCGCTCTCTTTGCTCCGCAAGGTGGCTGTTAGCGTCAGATCTCTTTTGTAGTTGGAGAGACGGGCTTAGTGCAGTTAAGGAACTTACTTAAGACCACACTCTTGGGGAGAAACAGAGCCCAGAACACTATGATGGCAATCCCTCTGACTGCTCGAGAGTTTTAACCCCTACACTAGTGAAGCCTTATCAGAAAAATAGAGGACCCCACACCCGAGCCCACAGTCGGTGGAGACTCGGCATAGCACGTTCTTAAACAGCGTAGAAGAATGGGGAAAACCCGCAATCTGAAGGAAGCGTAATGGTTACGTAACAGGCAGTGATCATGTGGTTCCTCTCCTTGGCTTGTCGGTGAAGAAACAGACCCCAGTGGATAGTGGCCAGGCGAGGTCACAGACCCAGTGGGTAGCAGAGCTGGGATTAGAACCCGTGTCTTTGGCCTCCCGGTGTGCCTTAAACTTTCCATATTTGACTTGGAGGTTTCTGTTTGTCTGGCTCACCAGCGCTCTGTGGATACGTATAACACATGTCGAAGTAAGTGAAACACAGAGTCGATAATTTCTTCGGAAATCCGCTTTGTTAGATGTAGTTGTGTGGAAAGAAGGAAGGATTGAAAACTTGTTTACTATGATTTTTTTTCCCTTTCATATTTCCCCATTTAGATAAAGAAATCCGCCCACCTCGGAAATTTCCTTCTGATAAAATTTTTGAAGCCATTTCCTCAATGTTTCCAGATAAGGGCACAGCAGAAGAACTAAAGGAAAAGTAAGATTTGTTCTTTGAGGCGGTCTTGCCTTGTATGGTACGAAGCTCAGCATTTCCGTTTGTCAGAAACGGAACTGATGTAGCTGGTGAGCCCTTGGGCTTCCTCTGTTGACTGGCAGGGTTCTCGAAACCCCGCGTCTGTGGTGCTCTCCTCCCGACAGTCGCCTTAGGCACAGTAAACACATGACATCATTGACGGTCGTACATGGAGAGGGGAATTTCTCCGGACCCTTGTAGAAACGTTGGTGTCACTGACGTTTATTTTAATGAACATGGTAACATTTTTCATGATCTGGCTCCTACCCGTGAACTTGATTCTCGATATACCATGCATAATTTTTAATTGGTTTTTCATCTAAATAGATTATTGTCGGTTAGACCTTTCCTTTTGTGTTTCGGGCAAGACTAACACCACAGCCAGTACACGGCCCCGTTCGGAAACTGTCTTTTCGGAGTGGTTTTGGCCCCACTTTCACTTGGCGTTTTTCTTGGTTAACGTTAGGTACAAAGAGCTCACCGAGCAGCAGCTCCCCGGCGCGCTTCCTCCGGAATGCACCCCGAACATAGACGGACCAAACGCTAAGTCTGTGCAGAGGGAGCAAAGCTTGCACTCATTTCATACGCTTTTCTGTAGGCGATGTTTTAAATATGACTGCTTCCTACATCGTAAGTGCAATTCTTGTACGTTTTCATTTTTTATCTTTGTTGTGGAATTATGGCTTAAAGCAACTTGGAAAGTGTTGTTGTTTATTATAACTAGAATTTGTCATTTAATCTGGCAGTTATGATTGAAAAATATGTTAGGATCAGAGTATCGTTCTTTTGTACTTTGTTGCTTGAGGGCTGCTGTGAAGTCTGGCACGTGTTTAATTTGGACCATGTGCCTCCCGCGAATTTGGACTGCAGGTCAGTGGTTTTTCCATAAATGCTAACCAAGCACTTGTTTTGTAATAAAGCTATTTCTGTGAACCGATAGCTGAGAGCAACACTGATATTGATGAACAGATTTTGTTGAGTAAGAAATTGGCCGAAAAGATGCTTATATGTTTTTGTCTATTTAGTGGTTTGTTTGTTTTTTTGGGGGGGTCCTCTGAGTAAATTACTTTTAAAAATTTAGTCTGCATTTGGGGGGCAGTCTGGGTGGCTGTTGGCCAAGTGTCCCGACTCTTCACTTTGGCTCAGGTCGTGGTCTCAGGGTCGTGGCATCAAGGCCCCCATCTGACTCTGCACTCAGTGGGGGGGTCTGTTGGGAGATTCTCTCTTTCCCTCCGTGTCCCAGCCCCCCAACTCCGTGCCCCTCACTCTCGCTCTCTCTCTCAAAAAAAAAAAATCTGCATTTGAATACGGGGAAAGCATAAAATGCTGTTAATGAAATTTAAGTATGTCACATATAATACTGCTTTATTTTTCTGACATTGCTGGGGAGTGAGGTTTCGTAGGAAATTTTCTAGGTAATGGGAACTTTTTAAGCACCATTGAAAAAGCACCAACTACTTTTGAGGCGCATTATTTTGAAAACATATTTGATATCTCCTTGGTTTCCTAAGCAGAGTTTACTTAATAAAGGTTAGCTTTATCCATGTTACAGTTTAGGGCGCCCATCTCTGTGGCAAGGTCACACTCTCAGGGACTTCTGACCTGGGCCAAGTTGTTCCCCCCTGTGCTGAGTGGCCCTTTCGCATTCTGTGGCTTTTACAGAAGTTTCCCCCTCATTATCCAGTAGCACCTCTTAATGTTAATTAGCCCGCACATGCGGTTACATCTTGTCTCATTTTGAATTTTTGCTCTGTCTGCTTTCATGTGCTGCATCTCATAATTTGTTGTGTGATAGGTACCTTGACCTGGAAATGGTGTGTGTGTGTGTGTGTGTGTGTGTGTGGCTTTAGTGGTGTAGCTACCTTTAATTAGAAAAATTTGAAGTAGATTTTCAGAATTATTATACTTCCCATGTCCTTGCTATTGTTTACCACCTAGTCTCAGTGATTTCGTAGCCGTAACAGTCTCTGGTGCCAGCCACGTGTTTTTCCAGTCATCGGACAAAGATCAAATATCTTTCTTGGGCTTGGCAGTGTTGTCTTCACACAGCCCTTGAAACAGTTGCCTTGAATTGCATTTAATTCGCCTTTACACACAGTCGTTGTAGACACTATGTCCGATTTTTATTAAAAATATTATAAATTGCCTGCAGATACACGATAGCAAAAAAAGAATTGGGTGGACTCTCGACTTGGAAGTCTGTAAAATGGCCCCTTTCATTTGTTTGTAGATGCAGCATTTCTTGTGTCTTTCTTGTTATACAGATGAACCAAAGGAAGTAAGACACTACTTTTAACATGAATTATTTTATTGTGATCTTCAGATTTGAGTAATTTCTGTGAACCTTGAACATGATAATTACCTCTTTATTCAAGCTGGGCAGAAGAAGACAATTATTCCCTTTACCGAAGTCTGCTTCTGTGGAACGGCAGGCAGCCCACTTGCAGCACTTGGAGAGCAGGGGTCCAGCGGCCACGGTGGCCCCTTTCCCTTTTCCGGACGCTAGAGCCAATCTCTTCACGATTTAGCCTTGATAGATCCCATAGGGATTCATTGCTTTCCATGAACTTTGACAAAAACCACACACCGTAGGTTTTTCCTAAGCAAGATGAGTCAGTAAATACATTAAACATATATTAAAGATAGCATTTTGTGCTTTCATTTTGTTTTTGTCTGTGTGAGAGGAGAATGACATAGTAGCACTTCATAAGCTGTCCGTTGTAAGGATTCAGTTTATTACTCCGTGTAATTTACGCAGAGTCAAATACTCAAAACAGTCCCCGGCTTGTTTTTGTCGTCATTGCTTACAGCAGGTTATCATTCACGTGATGCTGCATTTCAGAATGTAGTAAAAGGTACCAAGTGAATTCTCCCTGCCACTTCTGCCCTCCCCCATAGAGTTTGCACCTCACTTCTTACGCTGCTCAGCACCAGTTTTTTCTGACAAAATGCAGATATTCTTCTTTTTCTGAGTGTCCTATTCAAAAGGTGCCATACTTTTCAGGCTTTTCCCCATTTCGACTAAGTACATATTGGTCAGTATTATTCCTATCTGGAGAGCTGCGTGGTCTTCCGCTGTAGGAGGGGGAGAACTTACTGAGCTGATTCCTGAGGGTCAGCATTTGGATTGTTCTGTGCGCCACACGCTAATGGTGCTACAGTGAGTCACCTTGGCTGTACCTGTACATCGTTTCCCACAAGTGCAAGTTAACCCAATGCCCAGTGTTTAGGTAGGCTTTGTTGTTTTGTATCTAACATTGGGTCGCTGGAATTTATTCTGATAGAATTTTTGATGCACCCCTCCTCCCCACCTCCAAGGCTACTGAGCTGTTTCCATACCTTTTACTGGAAAGTTCCCTGTTGGCTGCCCTGCCCACTGCCTTTGTTCCCCATTACCATGTGTGCTTGGGTCTCTTTTCTTTGCCTTTGTTCCTTGAGTCATTCTGTCCAAGAGGCTTTATTCAGAGATCTCCTGGCTATTCTTATTTTTAATGTAAATTTTATAATCTTAAGGTTATCTAATTAAAAAAAAAAGGTCTAGGGGCGCCTGGGTGGCTCAGTGGGTTAAGCCTCTGCCTTCGGCTCGGGTCATGATCCCAGGGTCCTGGGATCGAGCCCCACATCGGCTTCTCTGCTCCGCGGGAAGCCTGCTTCCTCCTGTCTCTCTGCCTGCCTCTCTGCCTACTTGTGATCTCTCTCTCTGTCAAATAAATAAATAAAATCTTTAAAAAAAAAAAAAAAAAAAAAAAAAGGTCTAGTAGTATGTTTATTGGAATCCCTTTAAATTTATTAGTCACCTAAGTGAAAACTGATATTTTAAAATGAGGATTAAGTATAACTATATGATCAAGTTACCTTTTGTGTCCTTTAATAAACTCAAATTTTCTTCCTGTAGCTCTTGTATGTTCTTTCTTTCTTTTTTTTTTTTTTTTTAAAGATTTTATTTATTTATTTGATAGAGATCACAGTGGGCAGAGAGGCAGGCAGAGAGAGAGAGAGAGGAGGAAGCAGGCTCCCTGCTGAGCAGAGAGCCCAATGCGGGGCTCGATCCCAGGACCCTGAGATCATGACCTGAGCCGAAGGCAGAGCCTTAACCCACTGAGCCACCCAGGCACCCCTCTTGTATATTCTTTCTTAAGATGATTTCTAGGTATTAATGGGTTTGTTGCCTGGCTTTTTCTCTTTCAGTCTTACATATTTTATACCTTGATACTTTACTCAGTTGTTCTTGTTTATAAGAGTTTCACAGTGGATTCTTATTGAGCTTTCTAGCTATGTAAGTAAACTATCTGCAGTTACTAATACTTTCTGTCTTTCCAGTCTTGATGACTTTATTTTCTTGTCTAATTGCATTGGCTTGTATCTTCAGTAGAGTGTTAAGTAACATTGGTACTAGTAGCTACTTTTTTTTTTCCTTCTTCTGGATTACTTTTGAAAAATTATCCCCTTCACCCAGGTTTTGAAATTTATTTGTATAAAGTTGATCTAAGTGTTCTAATGATTCTTTTGTTCTTAAATGTTTCATTCTCTCATTTTTCTTGATGAGCTCATGAAGTGGCTTCTTTTGCTTTATTTTGAAAATCCGTTTTGTGTATTTCCCCCTCAGAGAATCAGCTACTATATTAGGTTTACTATTTTTCTCTTTATTAATGTGATTTTTGCATTGTTTTCATTCTTTCCTCTTTTTTTTTGATGTATGTGGTTAACATGGATTGAATTGTCTCCAGAGTACTGTTTCAACCTCTCTTACGTTAGTGTGTTTGGCATTACTATAATTTATAAGGAATTTTAAAGAATATTCTGTGTTCCTTTTTTAGCTCCTTGTTTAAGGGAGAATTTTTTAAACTTCTGGGTGAAAAGGCCTTTTTTGTGATGTTTTATATATTTTTATTATTTCTGTGTGGTAGCCTTACTGATAATAGGTTATTTAGACATTAGAGGTGACTACAGTTTTTATCTATAAAGAAGATGTTTTGATGGCAAGGGTTTGGCAGTTATCTTACCCAGAGCTTAGTATCTGACCATGGATCTTTTCTATTAGAGGGACTTGTGTGTTCTAATGAACCTTGAAAGACAAATGGCTTTGGTTTGGGAACAAATCCCACTTTGTATTCCAAATGACTTTGAGACCATGATCCATTTTGTAAATTGGAAACGGGTTGTTCTGCAAACTTGGAATCATGTAATTTCTTTATAAAAGCTTCAGCCTAAAATGGACTGCCTGGTGGTTCTTTGACACTTGTTAGAGGAACTGGGGCCAGCTCCTGAACTGACTGTAATGTAACACATTGACAGAAATTTAACGCATTTCTGATAGGGAGGGAGGGAAGGCAGGCTGGGAAATTAAGGCTGGGAAGTTTTATGTGCTTAAATAGGATCAAAAGTAGAATCTTGGAATAAATGGTTTGCTACATTTTCTATTATCTGTATGGCCTACAGAGGAATCCATTTTAAGCATAAAATCCAATTCTGTCTGTTTGCCATTTCTGATATTATGTAAAAAGTCTGTTCTTTTTGGAATGTGTATTAATGCTTATTGTAGAGGTTTTAATATTTTAATGGTTAGACTTTCAGAAACAGTATTCCAAAGTTTGTAGTTGATGGTTGACTTTTTAAAAATTTATTTCAGAAGAGTAATGATTAAAATTCAGACCTACAGAGTTCATATCTGCCATGAAATTAGAGTGACTTACCCTCCCTAAATCCCGGTTTTTCTCATCTGTAAAATGGGGATGGGAATCCGCATACCTGGAGGATTTTGTGGGGATTAAATGAAGTAATGCCTAAAACCTCTTACCGTGTGCTTTGAACACAGGAGCCTTTACTATGAGCTGCTGTCACTGCTGCTCTCACTACTGTCCTGTGCTCTGAACATGGATGCTGTTATTTTGTAAGGTACTTAGTATTAAAAATCGGAGATCTGTGATATACATAAGAATTATGTGATTCCAACCATGAGTATACTGAGTGAGAAGTTATTTTAAAGAGTTATTTATTTGGTGGGGGAGCACGCATGAGGGGAAGGGGGCAGGGAAAGAGACTCTTCAAGCAGACTTCCTGCTCAGCGGGGAGCCCCCTGTGGGGCTCCATCCCACAACCCTGAGCTCATGACCTGAGCTAAAACCAGGAGTTGGATACTCAACCGACTGAGCCAGGCACTCCTACTTTGTATTTTTAAGCCATTTTTTTAGAATTGCCAGTTTACTCACAGGGATAGGGAATAGCTGGAACTGCATATCGTAACAGTAACTGTGTATCGTCCTTTTTTTGAATTTGTTATTTTTAAAGATTTTATTTTTATTTATTTGGCAGAGATCACAAGTAGGTGGAGAGGCAGGCAGAGAGAGAGAGGAGGAAGCAGGCTCCCCGCTGAGCAGAGAGCCTGATGTGGGGCTCGATCCCTGGACCCTGAGATCATGACCTGAGCCGAAGGCAGAGGTTCAACCCACTGCGCCACCCAGGCGACCCATAACAGTCTTTTTACCTTTGCTTGAAAACCTTTAGATTTTTTACCAAGATTTTATAGGTTGCTTTTGAAATTAAAACAAACAAAAAAACCCCAAAAACCCTCAATATCCCATATTCTTTCCTTTTTGTACAGCTTTTAAGAAAGCACCTTGCTTAGATTTCCTAATAATTTTTTTGATCAGGGAATTTTACATATTCTACCCCCCCATATTATATTTAGCTTAAAAATATTTTAATAACTTACTTGAAATACAGGTATTTCAAGATGCCTATGTGAAAATATTAAGTATTCTGAAAATCTCAAGCAGTCAAGACATTTCTAGAAGAGGGAGTTCTTAATATATCTAGTTTTCTTAAACAATTGAAGTTTGATATTCTGAGGGAAGTCTAGTAAGGAGAATAGTTCTCTTTCTTGAGCTAAATGCTATGTGAAATTAAGAATTTTTTTTTCCCTTTGATAATAAAGTACCTCTGATTATTAGCAGGTTAATTTTTCCTTCATAGCCAGAACTTGGCTGGTGAGTGTTCTGTGACTTTGCTCTGATGCCCCTAACGGCGTCTCCCAGCCCAGGACTGGCAGGGGCTGCCCTCCTCCTCTGGGCACGCACGTGTACAGATACGTATGTGCCTTTGTATTTTTCACTGGATCAGGTGAAATCAAGAGCATCAATTTATGAATAGGGGAGATATCCACACTAAAAACAAATTTTACCAAAAATAGATCACTCCGTATGTGCTGCTAACTGGCTAAGGACGATCTTGTTTTTTGGATAGAAGTTAATTCTTAGCTGCTGATGTAACCTTAACCTTTTACAGGCTCAGACTTTGTATGGTAGGGGTCCTCACCTGTTCAAAAACATAATCCAATGCTAAATTAGTTGTGGTATCAGTCTCTCATTTCATAGGGAACTCTAATGCACACTTAAAACAGAATTTGAGCCTTGAATTTCTCCTTCAGAAACATAACTTTGTCTTTTTTCCCTTATTTCCCTCATCAGTCTGTCTTTCCCATTTAAGTTCTATGGATTCTATGGATAGAGTATGGCTTTTTACAGACTTTGTTTTTTTATTTTTTTAAGATTTATTTATTTTGGGGGAGAGCATATGCTTGAGTTGGGGGAGGTGCAGAGGCAGAGAATCTGAAACAGACTCCACTGAGCGTGGAGCCCAGCCTGGGGCTGGATCCTGTGACCCGTGAGATCAGGACCTGAGCTGAAATCACGAGTCTGTGCTTAATCGACCTACCACCCCTACAGATGTTTTTTAAATGGTTTGTTTCATGAATGTGTCACTTATTTGTATCCAAATTAAGATAATTTTCATCTTGTGTAATTCTGAACAGGGCATTTCTAACATTTGCCTTGGCGGCTGCAAGTAGGCTTTCTCGAGGGTTTTACAAGTTCTCACCACTGTGTGTTCATGTTTATTTAGTTCGGCCTTGTAATAGAATCTGTTATCACATTATTTGGGGATTTTAAGTTTCAAACACTTCTTTCTAGAACCTCTTTTATGTGACCATGTGTTTCCTGTAGAAGGGTGCTGACTACAGGCTCTCATTAGATTCCTGTATTGTGTCTGATCTGAAGAAACTGAATTTCAGTAGTCTGAGGCTGTCCTCTTTAATTATTTAGAAGTTTATTTGTTTAATCGCTATACCCACTATGGGGCTCGAACTCATGACCCTGAGTTCAAGAGCCTCATGCTCTTCCTACTGAACAGCCAGGCGCCCTTACCTTCTTTATTTGTAAAGATTTATTTATTTTAGAGAGAGTGCGTGCACAAGCAGAGGGGTAGAGGGCGAAGGGGAAGCAGACTCCCCACTGAGCACAGAGCCCGACTAGGGGCGAGAGAGATCCCAGGACCCTGAGATCATGACCTGAGCCCAAACCAAGAGTTGGCTGCTTAACTGACTGAGCCACCCATGCGCCCTGTCCTCTGTATTTTTAGTTTTTTAACAAGTTCTGTCCTATTTTTATCCATTTTGACAAGCCGACTGTTGACCTTCCTTTGGAAATCAAGAAATTGGGAAACCTGATTTCCTTGTAGAGAGGACGTATCAGTTGTTTCTATGGAGATATCAAAGACTCAGTGAATGTTCATAATCAGAGTTTAGAGGTCTGTGTATCAATTGTAGTCTTAAGGAGAGAAATAGGGAATCACTGATTATTCCAGAATTTACTGTCTCCTCCCTGGTTAGGGGTTGGTGGGGAGGAGTGGCAGTGTTCCGGGGGAAAGCTGAGGAGAACGCATGGAGATGATTCAGTAAGAGCTTGAAGGAAAGTTCTGACATGGAGACGATACACTGGCAAGTTTGTAGTGTGGAAAAGTGAATTTTTCCACTGAAACAGTAGAAATGAAAAAGTAAATATAGTAATATCTGGATATTCTATGTTTATTTTGCAGCTTTTCATGCAACACCCAATACTTACAAGCGGAAGAACACAGAGACAGCTCTAGACAACAAACCCTGTGGACCGCAGTGTTACCAGCACTTGGTAAGCCGGGGAGCCACCCGACCGGAGGGCACTGGAGGAGTCTTGCTGGGGGACGGTGGCGAGGTCTATGAAGGCAGTGTCGGCATGGTGGCCCCTGTCCTTGGCCGCGTGGCGGACATTCTCACCCGCGCGGGTTCCTGCCTCGCTGCTACGCGCTGCACATTCTAGTCCTTCCTGAATCTTGTATTATTCTTTGTCTGTGGTAATCACTTCAGCAACCTTCCAAGGCCTTTAGGATCGAGGACTGTTAGACCTGCCACCAAACTTATGAGTGTGAGCAGCACAGGTAGCCCCTTAAGCCCCAGAAGCTTGGTGAGCCTTCCTCAGCGTAGGCCCTCTTGAGTTTTACATGGTAGTCGGTCCCACAGGTGGTTTTTTGTTTGTTTGTTTGTTTTGTTTTTTAATGATGGAGAAAAGGTAAGGGTTTAGGAGAATGTGAGGTAGAAAAGTTGCTTTTTACGGGTACTATCTTATTTTTACCATTTCCCTTTGAACCAAGCCACTCCTACCTAGGAACTAATGGGTATATATTCCCTGTTGGATTTTGGACAGAAGATTCATTGAATGGCACCTGCAGAAGGTATCCTGTTTTTAAGCAATTTGGTTTTTGTAGAATGAAGTGTAAAACTGTTGGCTGCCCTCAAACTTCTCCCTTCTCCTGCCACTAGAAATGGGATTCTTGAGCATTATTTTATAATACTCTCTACAGGCGGAATTTTATTTGGCCCATCTGGGTGGTGTCTGTGGTCTCTCTCCCCTCCATGATCTTACTGTTATTTCATCCTAAGTCTGGGTTATTGACTTGCCAGTGTAGACTGTAACGCTCACAGCCTCGCTCCTCAGGCTCCTTTCACGACCTCTGGGGGCTCTGCTTCCCTCACAGGGAAAAAATGGGAGATTTTAATAGTAAGGCTGGAAGTGACCACGCCTGGCGCACTTCTGCGTTGTGAAAGCTTCTTGGGTACTTGAATTACTATCAGAGAGAGGTCTCCTAAAGCCTGAAATAGAAAGTCTGACTCTGGATGCCCATTAGGTATGATTCTTCTCGTAACAGTTCATGTTTAAAGAGACTTTATTTTATATTATATTTTAACTTATTATAATCACTGTATATAGTTCCCAAGCGCACATAGAATTGTCGATTTCACACCCCTGTAGCACAAAGAGAACCTGTATGTACCTTCCTGAATATTTCAAACTGTCAAAAGCAGTTAGAAAACCAAGAGCATCTAGATAGGGAAATGATTTGTACAAATGGATACTGTGATACATTTATTGACTTAATTTGCTTTATGCAATCCTTTTTTTTCTCATCCAGCGAAACGAGCTGTAGAACTTGACCGTGATGTGTACACTTTTCCCTTTGTAGGAGGGAGCAAAGGAGTTTGCTGCCGCCCTCACCGCGGAGCGGATCAAGACCCCGCCAAAGCGGCCTGGTGGCCGCAGGAGAGGCAGACTCCCCAACAGCAGCCGGCCCAGCACCCCCACCATCAGCGTGCTGGAGTCCAAGGACACGGACAGTGACAGGGAAGCAGGGACGGAGACGGGCGGGGAGAACAACGATAAGGAGGAGGAGGAGAAAAAGGACGAGACTTCCAGCTCCTCGGGTGAGACCCGGATGAAGGGAGTGGGATGGGTCGTGCCCTGTGCTCAGCGGGTTCGTTCTCGGGCTGAGGACAAATCCGAGAGCAGAGAACTCAGGGTGTGGAGCGGAATTTCTGCTGCCTTCTGCCCGCACCCATCCCGGCCTGCGAGGGCGGCCTGCCCGCCCGCCCGCTTGCTGGAGGGTAGACGGTCCCCTGTGTTGTCAGGTTGGGCGTCACTGTTCTTTCTCCATCCTTCTCATTTTCTTCATTTTATTTAAAAAAAAATTTTTTTTTTTTTAAGAATTTATTTATTTATTTAGTTGACAGATCACAAGTAGTCAGAGAGGCAGGCAGAGAGAGAGAGGAGGAAGCAGGCTCTCTGCAGAGCAGAGCCCGATGTGGGACTCAATCCCAGGACCCTGAGATCATGACCTGAGTCAAAGGCAGAGGCTTAACCCACTGAGCCACCCAGGCGCCCCAAAAAAATTTGTTTTAAAGTAAGCTTTACACCCAGCGTGGGGCACGTGTCCAAGATTAGGAGTCACGTGCTTCTTGGAGCCAGCCCACAGCCCCTCGGCTTGCGCCTCAGAGGCTGTGGTCAAGGGAACCAACCCTGGGTTCTGTGGGAGGCATGACTGTTTATTCTTTTTTTTCTTTTTTTTTTTTTTTTTTTAAAGATTATTTTATTTATTTATTTGACAGAGATCACAAGTAGGCAGAGAGGCAGGCGGGGGGTGGGGGGGGGCAGGCTCCCTGCCGAGCAGAGAGCCCGATGCAGGGCTCGATCCCAGGACCCTGAGATCATGTCCTGAGCCGAAGGCAGAGGCCCAACCCACTAAGCCACCCAGGCGCCCCTTGACTGTTTATTCTTAAGATGGTTCGCTTCCTGCTCTTTTTCTTAGGTATAACCTGAGTTTTACTTTTTTTTTTTTTTTAAAACGATTTTATTCATTTATTAGAGCGAGCGAGCGTGTGCACAAGTGGAGGGGAGAGGACAGGCAAAGGGAGAGGCATGCTCCCCACTGAGCAGGGAGTCTGACACGGGGCTCGATCTCAGGACCCTGGGATCATGATCTGAGCTGAAGGCAGGTGTTCAACTGACTGAGCTACCCAGGCCCTGTAGTTTTACTTTTTAATACTGTTCTCCAGTTGTCATTTCTCTTGACCAGTGCTTAACTTCGGTTTTCTAGAAGCGAATTCTCGGTGTCAAACACCCATAAAGATGAAGCCAAACATTGAGCCTCCCGAGAACGTGGAGTGGAGTGGTGCGGAGGCCTCGATGTTCAGGGTCCTCATCGGCACGTATTATGACAATTTCTGTGCCATCGCCAGGCTCATTGGGACCAAAACTTGTCGACAGGTAAGCACAGCTGATAAAATACTGTTCAGGAACTTGAGACGGAGGGAAAATAGTCGTCACTGTCCAGACAGAAGACTGTTTGGGGTTATGCTCGAGCTCCTGTTCATGTCCTGAAAAAGACGTAGATTGATCTGGTTTTTCACGGGGTGGGAGCTGGAGGGAAATGATCCTACAGACTTGAGGTGTTTCTGGGAGTGGATCTGTGAAGCCAGGAGGACGTTAGGCTGGCCTCGCGGCTCTTGTCCAGAGAGTGGTGGCTGCTGCTGTCCCCACGTGAGGGTCGGCCAGCATCTGCTCTGCTCACCGCCGGCCCCCAGCTCCTGGCAGCGCACGGCCAAGCCGGAGAGGTTTCCGGAACGGGTGCGTCTCAGGCCGCTTCGCCTGTGCACACGGCGCTCAGGGCCCCGTGACTCTGCCTCCTGTCAGGTGTATGAGTTTCGCGTCAAAGAGTCGAGCATCATCGCTCCGGCGCCGGCCGAGGACGTGGACACCCCGCCGAGGAAGAAGAAGAGGAAACACCGGTGAGCGCGCGTGCGGCCGCGGCGGGCTCGCTCGGCTCCCGCTCCCAAGAGCACAGCGGCCCGCGGGGTCGGGGTGTGCGCAGGGCCCCTGGAGTGTGGTCACTGCGCGCTGCGGTTTAGTCGGGGAAACCAAGCCAGGAGCTGTGCGCTGGAGGGTCGCTGGGCGTGAATGGTTCGCGGGAGCGCCGGGCTGACTGTTCCGGGAGCCGGACTTCTGTCCCCGTGCGGGGCTGCTCTCGGCCTGGTGGGGTTTGCCATTCACGGGCGCTGGCGGCAAGGAGCGCAGGGTGTCTGCGGGGCGGGCCGCATGGGTGAGGGGATGAGGGGGTGAGGGCTCTGCTCCGGCTGTGCACACGCTCACCGTCCCTCGCTTCACGGAAGGCAGGACCGTTGCCTTCCTTTAGAGCCGGAGCAGCTCAGGCAGTGAGGCCGTCGCAGCCGCAGCGGAGTCTCTTGGTTGAAGTCTGACCCCGCAGCTCAGTGGGGGACCGCAGACGCCCGAGATGAGAGGAGCGACACTGTTTCAGGCCAACCCGCAGCCACGGGAGCCCGGGGGGAGCGGCCAGCTGTGGAAGTCGGGGCCGCGGGCCGTGGGGCAGGCTCCCCCGGACAGCGCGTCTCCCGCGGGCTTCCTGCTGACCCGCAGACAACACGGGGCCGCCCAGTGTGTCTCCTCGTCCCGTAACTAGTTTCCCCGTAGCCGCTTCTCTCGCTCGCTTTGTCGGAACGCGGCGCGGCACGTGCAGGACCGAGTCTGTGCGAATCCGTCACCAGTAAGGCTTTTGGCCCACAGGCTGGGTTTGTGGGGAGTCAGAGCTTCCACGCAGTTTTGGATGGTGTGGGACGTTTGCACCCCAGACCCCGCGTTGGTCCAGGGGCAGCCGTCCTCTGGACCTGGGTTCAAAGCGCTTTTACGTTCAGGGCACGCGCTGACACGTCGTGCGTCCGTGGCACCGGCGCTGGGTCGGTGCCCCCAGCTTCGCAAAGGCGACTTACCGTTTGTGTTTTGCAGGTTGTGGGCCGCACACTGCAGAAAGATCCAGCTGAAAAAGGGTCAGCATCCTTCTGTTCAACTTCGTAACTAACCGAAAACCGTCTACTCAGTTAAGACGGGAGCTGATTTGTGTTCGGGAGTCCCGACGCGGCTGACCGCGTCCACGGAACCCCCTGCGACGGAGGATGGCTGCGGCCTCGCTCCCAGTCAGTCCTCCGGTGCAGCGGGAGGGAGTGAGTCAGAGAAGGACATCCTCTGGGGTCGGGGGACAGTGCTCTGGCCTGGCCAAGCACGTGGGGGAGGGGAGGCAGCGTCCGCCGTCACCCCGTAGACAAGTCCGGGCCGGAAGACGGGCTGCGCGCCCGGCGGGAGAGTGTCCCCGCGGCTGTGGCCTGACCGCCGTGCTCTCCCCGCAGACGGCTCCTCGAACCACGTTTACAACTACCAGCCCTGCGACCACCCGCGGCAGCCTTGCGACAGCTCGTGCCCTTGTGTGATCGCACAGAATTTTTGTGAAAAGTTCTGTCAGTGTAGTTCAGAGTGTAAGTATCTGTTTTGTGTTGATAAACTGCATGAGAATTTCAGAGGCTTTTGGTCAAGGCAGAACGAGATCATAGCAGCTCTTGCCTCCGTTTCCCTTTCAGCTTTCTGGGAAGTGCGTGTCTCCTGCAGGGCTTCACGGGGCGCCCTATCGGGCTCTGCGCGGGCGGCCAGCAGGGCCTGGGCAGGCCAGGCAGGATTGGGTCGTTTACATTAAGTCATAGTAACGTCGGCACAGAACGTAGAGGGCATCTAGAAATGGCTCCCCAGGGCCTCTGGCTACCAGCAGTTGTCAGCAGCCCTGGGTCGGAATTCAGCGTAAAGGGGGCTGGAAGCATTTAAAGAAACGGCACAGGCAGCTCGGGTACCAGGAAGTGTCTAGAACTCTGGGCCCTCAGCAGGGTCGCGAACCACGGCTCTTACAAGATGGCTGCGAAGGAAGGGCTTAGACTGAATAAAATCAAAGAGCTTTTTAGTCCACGTGCCACCCAACACGTGCAGACGGAAAGCCAGGAGCCCGGTGGTGGCCGTCCTCCGCCGCGACCGCGATTCCTGCCGGCCGGGCGGGGGCTCGCAGCGGCGTGACGAGGCCTCTCGCGGCAGGTCAGAACCGCTTCCCCGGCTGCCGCTGCAAGGCGCAGTGCAACACGAAGCAGTGTCCCTGCTACCTGGCCGTGCGCGAGTGCGACCCCGACCTCTGCCTCACGTGCGGCGCCGCCGACCACTGGGACAGCAAGAACGTGTCCTGCAAGAACTGCAGCATCCAGCGCGGCTCCAAGAAGGTGTGACCCCCCCCAGCGGACCCCCAACCCCAGCCCCCTGCGCCCGCCCCGCCCCCCACCGCCTGGGGCCGGGCAGAGTCACCGCTGCTGTGAAGTAGGGAGAGCGGAGGGGAGCCCTGAATGCCACAGCGGCCGGAGGGAAAGCGGGGGACTCGGGGGCGGTTTGGGCCCCGAGGCAGTGTTCCGCGCTCCGCGGGCACCTTGCGCTGCTGTGAGACGAACCAGTGAGTTCTGACAGGCCCGGACGGCGTCGTGTTCAGGACGTTTGTCTAGAACCCGTGCTCTGGTCTCCGCGTGAGTAGGTGGTGTCCTGTCAGAGTGGAGAGACCCTTTCTTACCAAATAAGACCCCGGGGAAGAGGGGGATTTCCCGGGGTAGTTCTTCCAAACTCCGTTCCGTTTCTTTAATGACCTTGACCAGCCGGGCCGGAGCTGCCGCCCGCGAGGTGCAGGCGGCGACGGTGACAGCAGCCCCGGGAAGGCGAGGGCTGAGCAGAGGAAGCTGCCCGCGTCGTAGGGGGAAGCTCAGGCCCCTAGGTGAGGCGGACTGAGGGTTTCTTCTCCCGGTCGTGTCCGCTCTTAGAACGGGGCCTGCCGCACGACACAGTCCTTTCTTGAAGTGCTGTGCGGCCGCCCACTCGTCCCGACTCCGGGAGTTAGGGATGTCCAGGGCTTCTGGCCCTGAGCCCCCTGCGGCTGAGGCCACGGGCCCGTGTTGCCCACGAGTGTCGGGTGGGACGACAGACACGACACTCCCATCTTAGGTCCCGGAGCCGTTAGGACATAACCAGGGTGGCGTGCGGGGCAGCCGTGCCTCCACCCGGATCTCTGGTCCCAGCAGCAGCTGTGGGGGCCGGAACAGGCTCAGGTGTTTTTCTTACTCACGTCGCAGGGATGCTGGGACAGGCCCCAGGCCCCCTGCTCAGTCCTCACCGTCTCCCCCACCCCGGACTTGTTCCACCGTGAACTCCCCTCCGCGTGTTCGGGAACGGTTCATGCTGACGCGCCGTCGCCGTCGACTTCTTGCAGAACTCCTGAAATGAAAGATAGCACACTTTTTCTACCAGCTGGGCTCCATTTGCTGAACGGTGGGACCAAAGATTGCTTTAGTTATTCAAGGAAACTGTGGCTTTCCGATACCTGGGAAGCCGGCCCCGGTTCAGGGTGCTCCGAGCTCTCGGGCCGCCGGCGACCGGCCGGATGCCTGCTCGAACGGGCCGGGGACGGACAGTGGGTCCTCCTGTCGGTCTGTCGGCACGCCGTCCTCGCTGTCCTTTGACGACGCGATCGCGTGTGCTTTCCCCTCTAGCATTTGCTGCTGGCCCCGTCGGACGTGGCAGGCTGGGGCATTTTCATCAAAGACCCTGTACAGAAGAACGAGTTCATCTCGGAGTACTGTGGAGAGGTGAGGCGCGAGGAGCCTGGGTTCAGGCAGTTCAGTGTCTGCTGGTCGCGTGTGTTCGTGTGGGGTCGGATGTGACTTTGTTTGGGGTTGAGGTCGCCGGCCAATGTCTGTTGGGTTTGATTAGAAATGAATTAATAAAAAATGCCTTTTCAGCTCAGACTTACTCCTGCCTGTGGGTTTGGCTTGCTTGGTAAAGGGACTGCCTCAGTCCTTGTCACACTTAGCATTTAGCGTCGGGGTGGGGGAGGGGGCGGATGGGGCTTTGTGCTGTAGAGTCTGCCCTACTGAATCCGCAGCCGGCCTGCTAAGGATCGGAAATGACCGTGTCATCATTCATACGCCTTTTTAGTCGTAGAGTTAGGGGGAGACCATCGGGCTTGCTTCACTCTGGAATTAACCCAGGCAGTTTGTATTTTTTCCTCAGTGGAAAGACTGTTGATGACTTTCTGCAAGCATGGTTCCTTTCGGAGTCGCAGTCTTTAAAAAAGGTGCTGGTTGTGAAACACCAGCCCGTAGCCTGAGTGGGAGGGATGGAGAGAGACACCTGACCGCAGGGACGAAGGTCTCAGATTCTCCCGAGGAGCTTGTGTGTGCGCCTGCTAGTCTCGATCACCTAATCCAAAACAGTCTTCTCCTCTGCCTTTCTTTGTAGATTATTTCTCAAGACGAAGCAGACAGAAGAGGGAAAGTGTACGATAAATACATGTGCAGCTTTCTGTTCAACTTGAACAATGGTACGTTTGACCTAGAGGCCATCCCAGAGCCCTCCCCTGGTTGGAGTGGAGATGTGAGGGCAGAGGCCCCTGGGCCGGAGCAGGACTGACAAGTGCCCGGGATCCCGCACGCCCTGGCACAGGCTTAGGGACAGGCTGTATGTTTGCGAGGCCCCCAGGCCGGACCAGATGGTTCCGAGCCGTCTGCTGCTGGGGCGGCGCCAGACAGCTGCGAGCTTGCCGTGCGTTTGCTGCTGCCGCCCTCCTGCTCTTCTCCAGACGACCTGGGCCTGGGCCTCGCTTGGCCCCCGGCCTCCGTGTCATCCACACTCCCACTGACCTGGGAAGGGGCTGGAGTGCCGGATTGGGCAGCTGCTCCTGGACTTGCAGCCCTGGGTGTTCTCAAGGTCTGTGAGAAGAGGGAAGCGGGTTTTCAGATGAGTTCTCGGGTCGGGCATTAGGCCGGAGTAGGTGGTACTGCTGGGGGCTGGGGAGGGGGCACGAGGAAAATGCATGGGTGCTTGACCCCCAACCTCAGAGAAACTTCCCTGGGGCACGTAGCAGATCTTTCTGCAAACATGTTCCATAGAGAGTGTAGCGAAAAAAATAATCTTAAATGTGAAACGATTACTCTTGAAGTTAGGAATTTTGATTCCTTGTTTTGTAAAGGCAAGCCCTGAGGAACAAGAGCCAGGGGCGTCTCCAGAACTGTAAGAACTTCGTGTTCGCAGACCTGGGATGGAAACCGTTCACTAGGTGATGCTTGTTTTTTCTCTTTTTTTAGATTTTGTGGTGGATGCAACCCGCAAGGGTAACAAAATTCGTTTCGCAAATCACTCAGTAAATCCAAACTGCTATGCAAAAGGTAGGTGCTGACGGAGCCGCAGGCCCGAGGGAACCTCTCTGAGACCCGCACCGGTGGCCTGGGACGGTCCCGCGGCGATGCTGCCTAGCGCCGGGGTCAGGCCCTCCCCAGGGCCAGTCTTCTTCTGACTCCCTGACCCCGGTGTGTGTCTCGTTCCAGTCATGATGGTGAATGGCGATCACAGGATAGGGATTTTCGCTAAGAGAGCCATCCAGACTGGTGAAGAGCTGTTTTTCGATTACAGGTTGGTACCGCGTATTTCGGGTGTGATCTGAGGGCTTCATCTTCCTGAACTCTGAGCTCACAGACAGAGGCTGTCTTTTCACTCTGTCGGATCTTCCATTCTTAGAGGGATTTATTTCTGGTTGTCACGTGTCAGGGGCATTGGTGGGCAGTTAGGCCGTACTTTCTTGGTAATGTAGTTCCCACCGCACAAGTAGTGGTTATTTATGACATACAGGCTTAGCTCACATGTTGTGGGTTCAGTTCCCGACCACTGCAGTAAAGTGAATTGTAATCTTTCTGCGGGTGGAGGGTCTCGGCGGTGCTGCCGGCTGCTGACCTGTCGGGGTGCTGGGCGCTGGAGGCCCGCGCGGCCCTGCGGTTTGTCGCACCGATGATGGCTCTTCTGTCCCAAACGGTTGCTCGGCGGCCGGCGGTGCCGCCCGATGGCGTTTAACCCACGGAACCGCCTTCAGAACTGGATTCCGCCCCCTCGAGCCCTGCCGCTGCTTCATCCGCGCGGCTCCGTCGTGTTCTGATCCCCTCGTCGTGGCTCCCACCGGCAGCTCAGGACGCCCCTCGCTCTGCTCGTCCCGAGGAAGCGCCTCCACGTGCCGTCCCGCCTGACCCGGAGCTTGCAGCAGCTGCGTCCCCTCCTCGGGCTCCGCTCCTGCTTCTGGTCTCTTGCTGCTTCCTCGTTGCATTTCCAGAGCCCAGGCAGAGCCGACTTGGCCTGGTTCTTAGGCGCCGCGGGGTCTCAGAGCGGTCACGGAGCACTGGCTTCAGCTCCAGGTCACCGGCCCCTCGCGAGAGGGTCGCCTGCTGTGAAGCTTTGAAGCCGGGCGCTGCCTTCTCCTGTCGGGCTGAGAGTCCCAGCTGGCATCTTCTTCCAAGAGAAGGCTGTTCCGGCTGCGCTGAAAGCCTGTTGTTCAGGGCGGCCCCCTCATCGGTGATCTCCGCTGGATCGTCTGCAAACGGGGCCGCTTCACCTTGCGCTTGGGTGTTGTGGAGATGGCTTCCGTCCTGGAGCCTCCTGAACCCGCCCTGGCCAGCCGCACACTTTCCTTCTGCAGGTCCTCACCTCCCCGCGGTCCCGGCACGGAGGAGAGTCCGGGCCTTGCTCTGGATTAGGCTTTGGCTTAAGGGAATGGGTGGCTGGTGTGGTCTCCTGTGCAGACCACTGCCTCTGTCTCCAGGCCAACAACAAGGCTCTCTTGCCTTCTCGTTTTGTGTGCTCACTGAAGTAGCACTTAAAAAAAAAAAATATGTAATCATCTTTACCCAGTGTGGGGCTCAAACCGATGACCCTAAGACCGAGGGTCACATGTTCTTCCAACGGAGCCAGCCAGGCACCCTCTTAAATTTCCTTCTGTGAACGTTTCCTTCGCATTGACGCGTTGGCTCACTCGTGCAAGGGGTCCAGCTCACGTCCTACCTGGTCGGCATCGGGGTCCTTCCTGTGGGAAGTCGTGCTCGCCGTCAGGAGGCCGAGGACACACGCCCCACCATGGGCCTACCCCGGGCTTCAGGCCGGCAGTGTAGTCAAGCCCTGGCGTGGGAGCGGACCACAAAGTATTTTCAAATGCAAGCAGAGGACTTTGTAGCCACATCCATCCTGTGGCTGAATAGTTGTCCCTTAGGCAGTAACTTTTGAAGGTCGAGAACGAAGACATGAGTAGCCCCTCCTCCGAGTGACCTGCCACCGTGCTGCAGACCAGCTTGAGGCCCCCTCCCCAGCAGGAGCCCAGGAAGCCCCCCTCCTGCAGGGAGGTCACCGCTCCCCGGGCCTCCCGCCTGCCAGCCTCGGGTTCTGCCCGTGGACCCAAGTCCCGGCTCTGGCCAGAGCAGACCTGCCACTCTCTGGCCTCCCGGGTGCCGGGCCGTGGGCCGTGCTGCCCACCTGCGGGCGGTGGGTCTCGGGCCCAAGGGGCGGGCGGGGAGAGAGCCGGGGAAGGGCTGAGCGAGCGACTTGTCTAGTTCTCAGCAAGCCTAGAACCCGGGCCCCAGCCGCAGGCCTTGCCTAGAAGCGGGCGGGTCTGCGGGGTTGCCGTGTGGACATTCTAGCTCGGACGCGGCAGGAAGCGGGCTCGACGCGGCGAACTGTCGCTGGGGCCGGGCCTTGCTCATTCCTCTCTCCTGCCGTTTCAGATACAGCCAGGCCGACGCCCTGAAGTACGTGGGCATCGAAAGAGAAATGGAAATCCCTTGACGTCTGCTACCTCCTCCTCCCCCTCCTCCTTTCTGGAACAGCTGCCTTAGCTTCAGGAACCTCGAGTACTGTGGGCAATTTAGAAAAATAAAATGCAGTTTGAAATTCTGAATTTGCAAAGTACTGTAAGAATAATTTATAGTAATGAGTTTAAAAATCAACTTTTTATTGCCTTCTCACCAGCTGCAAAGTGTTTTGTACCAGTGAATTTTTGCAATAATGCAGTATGGTACATTTTTCAACTTTGAATAAAGAATACTTGAACTTCCCCCCGTTGTCGGGTCATTGATTGGTGCGGATCTGTCCACGGATACAGAAAAGGGGCGCGACTGGTACGCGAGGGCGCGCTCACCTTCAGCTCCTGGGCTGTCGCCGCGTTCCGTGAACCTTCCATACCGTCCGCACGTTGGCATTCCGAGGCCACGGTGGCAAACGGAGGATGGATGTTTGTGTAACAGGATACGTCACAGATGTGTGAAACGTGTAGTTGATAATACGTCTAATTATAACACCGATGCCGTCTGTCAAGAAGTGGCAGACACCCTCAGTGACAAGGCTGGGAGGGCCCCGGCGGCCCCGGCGCACGAAGCCTGTGAGCCTCACGGTGTACAGAATCGCAGCCGGACCGGCCGGCTGCAATGGCCCCACGACAGGTCCGCGCGTGGACACTCAGGAGCCCAGCGGCGGCAGTGAGCCTCCTTTCCTACCCGCGGAAGGGGATGGGTATGCGCAAACTCGTCTTCTTTCTTGAAGATTCAGGAAAAAAAAACCCCAAACCCTCAAGCGTCAAGGCCACGGGGCGCTCGCTCCCTGGCCTCTGAGAGCGGTCACCATTCTGTGGGGGTAGAGTTGCCTTTTCTGGAGTCACTTTTGTTGATTTACATAATGTAATATTTAATGTGACACGTAATTAAAACCTACCTCTCCAATGGCGCCGACACGGACAAGACTCAGGTCTCCGTCGCATCGATGCGTCAGCCGTAGCAACCCCAGGCCTACAATAAATGAATTTGCTATTTTGCTTTGGCAACAAGAAGACTTGGCCAAAGATCCCATCCCGGACACGCTGCTCTCCTGTGCTCGGCCGGGTTTGGTCCCGTAGGAGACGGCGACAGGCTGCTGTGTTCCCGAAACCCCCTCCCCGCCCCGATGGCGCAGGTGCTCAGTCGGCCGCCGCGGACTCCCGGGGGACAGCTGGGGGGGCTCGCCTGCGCTCGGACGTCCCACCCTTGGCGCTCGGCGTGAACGGAGCCCGTCTACTCTCACGGCGACGACCCGCCGCACAGGATCCGAGGTACTGTTCACTCGGGACACGAGACCCACAGGCGTCCTCCGGACAGAGGGCATTTTCACGGACAGCGGTCACTTGGAGCCTGCACAGCAAGCTTCTGTGCCCACATCTGAGGGGTCCAGTGTCACCATGTCCGGAGTGCTGGACAGGCACCCATCACGCGTGACGAAGGGCCTGCTTTAGGTCTTCCCTGGTTTATCAAGGGGCACGGTGGGCCACAGAGCATGACATACGAGGTATTCAAACACCCAATATCAGCGCCAAAACGCTGTTTTTTTTTTTTAATGCAGCCTTTTAAAAATGGGGTGCCCCCTTCCCCTCACTGTCCACTGGGTGGAAGTTGGGGAGCCCGGTGCTTACTTCCCAGAAGAGCAAATCTAGGACTGGGGAGGACGAATCCAGGAGCCCAGCACTGCATCAGGGTGGGGACGGGCTCGGTAGTTCAGGAACACCCGAGGTTGTTCGCTCTGGATGGATGTGGATGACCACAGCCTGACAAGAGGGTGCCCCGTGGGCCAATTTCTGTGCTCCCGTGGGTCCTCGGCCACATGACCAAAGGCAGGTGACCCGTGGCTGTTGTGACCGTGTCACCATCCACAGACTAACCCACGGGCAGATCTGAGGGCACCGAGAACGAACATTCTGCTGGGCAAAAGTATTTTCCAATCAGTATTTAGTAGTTTCTTGCAAAACCGCAAACTGTGGTCACCATCTAGGAGCTGCTCGGTCACTTTCCAGCTTTTTCTTGGTTTAGCAGCCTCCAGCCTTCGCGGTATCCACTCAGGGACGCCAAGTCCGGGCTTCCACGTCCGCCCCGACGCGCGGCCGCTGCCCCGTCCCAACCGCGCCTGCGTTCACACATCGTGTAATTTAAACGCGCGCGCGGGTCCAGAAAGCTTCCCGATGTGAGCATTTCCCGAGTTTCAGGATTCCACGGGCTATTTTAGCAGCTTTGGGCTTTCACCAGAAACAGCTGAAGATGCCCTGGTGGGAGAAGGGGGTCCAGCAGCCCTGGGGGGCTCTGATGGGCCTCAGGAAGGCGGGCTAAGCAAGTCCACGCTCGCCGGCGAGGCCAAGTCCGTGCGGCCCGCCGGCCGACAGGCGCCCGAGCCGGCGGGTGAGACCCGGGAGCGGAAGCAAGTCCCCCGGCAGCCAAGTTCTAAAACAGAAACTGTCTTCATCCCAAGGGGGATTCGCTGCAGACGTCGGTCAGCTGGCGCTTTTCATCTGGGGGCACAGAAATCTTCATTGCTTCCAAAGGAAAATCAGACTCCGGTGTCCGGCAAGGACACAGGCCACCTTCGAGCGCTCGGTCGACGGGAGAACTCGACACTGCGGTGCCGCTTGCTCCTCTCCCCTTCCCCGCGCCCCCGGGGCCCAACGGTAGCGCCCCCCGCTGCGTTCCCGCAGAGCCGCGACAGGTGGCCGGCCTGCGCTGTCTACACGGGCACGTCTGACAGCGGCCGTGCCCCGGAGAACCGGTCACCCCCACAGGCTACCGACCGAGGTCCTACTCGGTCTCCGCAGGTGCGAGGAAGCCGTCCCCTCAGGCCATGGGCCCCGCAGCCCGGACCCTGGTGGCGCGCGCTCCGGCTGAGCGTCGGCGCGGGGCACGACTCGGGACGTCCGGGCCCCTCCCTGCAGGCGGCCTCGGAAGACGACGGTCCGGCAGCTGCTCCTTGCGAGAGAACTGCGGTTAATCGGGGTGTGTGGGACCCGGTGCCCCTGGCTGGCAGCGAGCGGCGCCTCACTTCGCCAGGCTCGGGCGGTTTGGGGCAGAAAGGCACAAGGCCCAGAGTCGGTTTTTCCTCCCCGCACCCGTGCGGTCGTCCGTTGACCGCACGTGAGGGGCCGGGCCGGGCCAGGCATGTGGGGGGCTGCTGGACTCACCTGCTCGCGGCCGTGCACCCCAGGGTCCGCTCCCGATCCGGGCCGGCTGCCAGTCGCCGGCCGGTCTCCTGAAGTCTCTCCCACTTGGACAGATGACACACGTGCTGCAAGGGCTCCGCGGGGGGTGCAGCGTGTTTGTCCCAGAGGCGGGGCAGGGACGCTGGGGAGGCAAGGCCAGCATGCACGGGGAGCCCTGGGCACCCCAGGATCTGTGGGGGGGCTGCTCTCTGTTTACAGTGGGGATCTCTGTAAAACTGGAGAAGATGCACTACGGACACCGGAAGCTGTGACACAAATGCTGTTACTGTCGTCTGATTTCAGCAAACCTGCAGGGCTCGAATGTTCCAAGAGACCATGGGAGTTGCGTTTCTGCGTCTTCCCCGCGCGTCGCCAAGCGTGGGCGTGGCTGGCGGTGCAGGTGCGCCCGTCCCTGGAGGAGGCCGGGCCGCGGGGTCTGGGATTTAAGTCTCTGCAGTCACTTCCCTGGCCAAGAAGTGACCACCAAAGGGACCACGGTGTGGCCTCGAGCTTAGGGTCCCCTCACCCCAGCTGCTGGCCCATCAGGAGGCTGTCCTTGGGCTGGGGTGGGGGACTGTCGTCTTACCAGGAGGAACAGACGTGCTCGTCCGAACCGGCTGCCCGTCACACCGGCTGGAAGCAGAGGCAGGAGTGAGGGTGCACAGGGCCGTGGCCGTGGGGACGGCAGGGAGCCGGTGCCAAGCCCCCTCCTCCGGCCGTGGGGAAGGGGGCACACTTCCCTCTGAGGCCATCAGGACGAACCCACGGAGTCCTTCCACGTGGCCAAGAGAAGCGACACGCTGCCGCAGGAGCCCCAGAAGGCGCGTGAGCGCGTGGGGAGAAGGTTACGAGGGGGCTCACAGCTTCAAGATGTAAAAGACATTTCGGTCAGAAGGATGCAGCCTTTCCTACTGGAAGACACGGGATTATAAATCCGTACAATCATTACGGCTTTTATTTACATGTAGAAATCAGCTAAAACTTAAAACAAAACCAAATGCGACTTGTACAGAAATCCTTTAATTTTCTTTATTTTCACACATTAAAAAATGAAACACACTATACAAATGGTTTTTCATAGCAGATTACACGTGGGTCCATTAGACTTGCTCTCCAAGTGCCGCCAACACGGACACCGCCCAGGAGGCAGCGGTGAGCCCCGGAGCCCAGGTATTGATCTAAACGCAGTAGCATGCAGCCCTCCGCGGGGAGGGTCGAGCCCCCCGTTCTTAAATTAGGTTAAATGGCGTTGGTGTCCATATTTACAGACTTGAAATGTGTCAATCCTGAGCAGTTCGATGTGCGTCTGAGACCAGCCGATGGGAGTGTCGGTCTCAGGTTTAAAAAGGGAGGTCCACGACGTGGTGGCAGGCTGGCTGCTAGGAACTCGAGCTCGTCTCTCCACCAGGAAACTATTCGCTGCGGGTCGCACAGTCAGACCCTTCTGGAAGGGTTAAGCCAAGTAACTGTAGGTGTCCTTCTCACCGTCAACTCGCTCCAAATACTCTTTCTCGATCAGAATGTCAATGCATTTCTGGGCGTTATTTTTAAAAAGGGAGAAGCAGTGAAAGGGGAAGAAAAACACGTTTATTATCAGATCGGGGACAGCCACCCTCAGCAGGGATGCTCCCCCCGCCCCCAAGAGCTCAGTCAGCGAGCAGTTTCAGCCCGCGTCCCTTCAGTGCGTGGCTTTACTTCCCGGGCAGCTAAGACCTCACTTTCCTGAATGGGAAAGTGCCCATTTCCCCAACGTCCCCGCCGAGGGGCCCGCATCCCTCCAGGCCTCCCCGCTCCCCGCCATGGGCCAGGCATGGCACCAGCCCCCGCTCCTGGCAGCATGTGATCCCAGGAGGCGGGGGGGGGGGGGGGGGGAGGGGGCTCGGCACTGGCTGCCGTTCCCCGCTGGTGGTCTCGGAGAGGGAGCCCGGGTTTCTGTGTTTAACAGCTCACCAGGCCCCAGTGACCCGCGATCGCCCAGAGCTGCGGCCCGCCGAGCGGAGAGGACCGCACGGCAGCGAAGGTGCACACGGCCTGGACGAGCTACAGCCCAACGATGCCCCCAGATGGGCC